TAAACTTTAGTAGCAGTTGATCTGAAAAGGGGTTCAGACTCAAAACGTCAGCAGTTAAAGTTTGAAATACAAGAGCTGTACTCAAACAAGATTCTACTTGTGTTGAGCTCGCAGTACTCCCAAAGAACGTACTATTCCTCTCGGGTTCACATCGCACCTACAATTAGCTATTCAGTATAGTGAACAGCAATGAGGAAGGGAGTTACGTGTCACCGGCCTACAAGTGGCACCGCCTTAGTGCATAGATTCGAGAATTCCGACAGCCACCAGCTTTATCCTGATGGAAAAGAAAGAACCTCATTTTCGAATGATTACCAAATTTTTCCTTTTCTACAGGATACACTAAGGACCTAAGGCCTTCAGCTGGACAGATCTTCCGCTTTCACCTTATAGGCCTAATTTCGCTCAGTCGTATCTCTACCTAACCCACTTCCTGGCCCAGTTTCTTGAGAAGAAGTCATACGCCGACCAACGAAAGCTCAGAACTGAAATCCAGTTCTTCTTCGATTAGTTGGGACTCCTATAGGGGGGAGGGGGCGACGAGCAACATCCTACACCATTGGCCACATGTTACAGATATTGGTGGTGTGTACTACATTTTGACAATAAATAAAAGAAAATAAAAGGATTTTTGTACAAATCATAGTTTTTTGGAGAATTCCCCATGTTCACCCTGAGATCATGTACACTTATCAGATCTTATGCTTAGTAATGAAGTAGCTCACCGTACTGTATATTACGCTTGGAGTTGTCGGACTTCTGCACCAAACAATAAAGAAGTAACGCAACGATGCCATTCGAGCAGTACAATCCAGATTGGAATTTCATCCACGTGTTCACCGCCTCTTCCCAGCCCAATCTGAATGAAAGTGCTGTAGATCTTATCAAGCATTCCTTAACAGCAGCGCAACAAAAATGTTTTATCTGGAACACAAGACTACATGCCTTTCGGGCTCACAAATCAATGCATCTCTTTTAAGGTAAGATACTCGCCTATACCTTGGTTCGAACCCCCTGTTCTCTCAAGATGTCCGTGGGCACTACTTATTTAAAGTGTTTGCAATGCCGGGTAGAAGAGTAAAGGCAAAGACCACAGATTGCGGGTAACGGAGCTCACATAGGAACGAAAAAGTGCTAGGTATCTGATTAGCGGAGAAAAGCAGCAGAAAAACAGCCGAAAATGCCCTAAATAGGACTCCATATCGACCCCAACTTGTACATGCATGCAATGAAGAAAACGCATGTTTGTACGAATTTCCACTCGTCGTTATCATAAAGATATCAGCTCTTTTATCGTATCACCTCACTCTCACCATTCGGAATGGAGAGAGATAGCATAGGCTACTAGCTAGTAGCTAGCAGCCGGTGGGGTCGGCATGGGCCTAAGGGGCGCCAATGGGCCTAATTGGTTAACTTTCACCGGAGCTCTTGCCGGCTTTCACTTTGGAGGAAGCGCAGCCCCCGCAATCCAAAAAACAATCAAAACGCATCCTTCCGGATCGTCTGACACATTTGACAGGATATAGTCTCATTTTATCGCGAAAGTGCCTTTAAAGGCACGTTCCGCGATAAACTAAGGCTAGAACCTCATAAACGTGCATGATGATCAAGCAGGCAACAGTAGAGGATATGCTGCTTTTAAAAGTTGAAAAACAGCAAGCAGAACGCACGGCGCTCATGTTTTAGGCCCATTGGCGCCCGATAGGCCCATGCCGGCCTCCGGTGACCGTGTCGTTGTGAGACTGCCATTGCGCTCTCTCGCCCGTCATTTTCTGGCCTCTCTCGTCTCTTATCAGTGTCTCGCCGCCTTTTGCAATCCACAATTGATCTTGACCACCTTACGCTCGTCCGGTGATCATGAATTGAAATAAAGAGGGTCTTATTGCGGGCGCTTTTTCGTGGTTCCTTCTCTTCAATAAGTCAACAATCACAGGGCAATTCTATTTTTGAACTATACCTATGGAGTGTGGTTTACCTATGGAGTGTGGTCGCGGGAATTGCCTTTAAGTAGCGTATAAATTTAGCCCGCAGAATAAAGGGAATGAAGGGTGAGAGCGCATGTTATTTACAGTCAGCTAACAAACCCGGGCTGTCGCCCGCTGCCCAATGTCGCGGACTGAAAGTCTTAGCAGTGCGTTCACACTTTCAAAAGAGAGGAAAAATTAGGACCCAAATTTCAGCTCTACTTTTCAGTTTCAAACTTTCCTGTCTCCTTATCCATGCAGAATCTTAACTCAAGGAAATAAAAGGCGATAGGATAGACTTACTTCCTCAAAACGTTGCCAATAAAAACAGATGTGAGAGTCTCGTTCGGATGTAGCTGAAGTATCTCCAACTTGATCAGATTCCGCAGGAGATCTATGCATTCGTCGATTTTCTCGACCGATGGATTTGGCAGCCTCTGGTAAAAATGATTGTTAGGTGCATGCTATATGGGTTCAGGATTGAAAAACTAGAAAACAGTGGGAAGTCCATTTTCACTGAGCTGTAATTCTACGAATGAGATGGTCTCTCCATTTACTTTCCCTCTAATGAGCATTCCAATATTGAAACATGCAAGGTTCCCTTCGCAGCTGACTAGGAGCTCCCATTGTCATCAGTGAACATGCCACACTGTATTCACTGAACCACTACGATTCTGAATGGAACTTGCCGAAATGGTGCGGTGTCCACTGTCGATTAACGCGTGCAGGATTCGGGAGTTGAACCTCGCATCGACTCCCCCTTCGACACACGAAGCTTTTCATCTCCCAGGGTCCACTAACTATCACCATTGAACCAGTACCTTGGGAAGATAAAAACACTGAATTGCACATCGGCTGCTTCCCACAAGTCATTGCACGGGTCATGTCGATTACAAAAAATTACTAGCATTACGAGTGGAGTAGAATGGCGCATCCCGAGAAGATGAAGAGGGCATCGGGCAAGACTAAAAGCTTGGACTTTTCTTTCAGTCTTTGAGCTTCTGTACTTACCTCGAAGCACTTTCCAAACAATCGGTTGTATTCATGCATAGTGTTGAAGAACGTATCGTAGTTGGCGACAGCTGCAAAACGATTACTTTCTAAACGAATAGTAAAATCACTGCAAAATTCCTTGGATGCGGTCGAAGCTTCACACTTATCTCCACTTGGTATCAGCCACGGCTTCAGTTTTTGACAAAGCGCCCCGAAATCATTGGAGAGGCTTGCTTTAGATGTTATGGCAGTATTGTCGAAAAAAAGCAGTTAGTGGTTGAGACGCAGGAACAAAACATGGTAATTGTGTCATCTCTAACCTACATCACGTCTAATGTATGCATGCAACGGAGAACAAAGCCGAGAATGAGTCAGAGGGGATTGAAGCGCCGTGTACAAGCGCGATCATCAGGGATTCGAATTTTTCGA